CCGTGGTGGCGGAGGGACTGCGAACGAGGAGAGGACGGTTGGTTCAAAGCGTGGCTGTGTGGTCCAAGCCAAAGACCTGAGCCTGTATTTCTTGCTTTCTCTGTGTTCACTCACACCAGAAGAAAGATCCCGTTACAGATCCCATGACCTTGTGGTTTCTGGGAATTGAACTCAGGGCCTCTGGAAGAGCAGTCAGTGCTCTTAAGCACCGAGCCATCTCTAGACCTGTCTTTCACTTTCAAAGAAACAAATACAAGAAGTAGAACAGTGATAAATTGGTAGAAATTTTCACTGTGGTAAATCAAATTTGTCTCATTCTATTAAGTTCATTCTTTTGGAGAAATGTATTGTTTCCTGATTATAGATTTTTTTCATAGTTTAACAGAAAGTTTTCTCTCTTTTTTTTTTTTTTTGAGATTATAACTTACTTTTAGCTTTAATTCCTTCCCTCCCCTCCATTCTAATCCTTCCATTTCTCACTAATTATTACCATAAAAATATGTATCTACATATATAGTACTAAAAATATCTGGTTCAGTCTATGTAGTAGTAAATGAATGTGTGACTTTAGGGTTGGATTTTTGGTACCAGACAGCCAATTGGTGTGCTCCTTTCCGGGGAAGGCCAATTCGCCGGTTCCCAGCTTTCCTCAGTTCCTTGTATTTCTTTGTATAGGGTTTAGGATTGGTAGGCTTCTCTCTGTCCGGTTAACTTCTTCATGGTTGTCATTCTTCAGTTCATGCTAGGGCACTCATGTTGAGGAGACTTATTGGTATCAGTTCTAATATTACTAGAATGCACAGTCTTATAGCAAACTCTCTAATTTGGTTTGTAGAATCTTTCCACCCTATCAAGAGCAGCGTCCCCTTAGTTTTGCTTTATGTGTAGGAGTGTTCTGCAGATGGACTAGACTCCACCAATCTATATATTGGTTGTGGTTTTTCTGTAGTGATTTCTATCTGTTGCAAAGAGAAGTTTTTATGATGAAGAGTGAAGACTATAACTATCTGCGGGTATAAAGACGAATGTTTATAGATTCTTGTTAGAGATTATGCTGGTTTACTAAAATAGTACTTGAAAACTCTGGTGAGGCCACATAGCCAGAGGAAAGTGTTCAAAGAGCAGGGAACCAAGATCATGACATAGGCAGACTCTGCTCCCCTTATTTGGGAACCCATGTGGATGGAGACTGATTTGCCTGTCAGCTGCATCTGAGTGGGGGGGGGGGCGTACCTAGGTCCTCTCCATGCATGGTCCTTGGTTGATGCATCAGTCTCTGCAGGACCTCCTGGGTTCAGATTTTTTTTTTTTAGCTCTGTTGGTCTCCTTGTGGGGCTCCTCTCCTTCTATCCCCATCTTCCATAGACTCCCTGCACTCTGCCCAAAGTTTAGCTGTGAGTCTCAGCATGTGCTTCCATCCCCTGTTGGGTGGAGCCTTTCAGAGGACCCGCTATAGTAGGCTCCCATCCTGTTCACTCTCTTGCACCACTTCTGGTATCTATCCTGTTTGCCATTCTGAATGAGATGTAAGCATCCTCCCTAGGGTCCTCCTTTTAACCTTAAATTTTGATCTTACTGTGTTTCCTTCCCCAAGTCTTCCAATATCATGCATCATCTTTCTTTGTCCTATAACATCATGTTCCTTCTCTTTCTTAACAAGAGGGAAAAGTTAAAAAAAAAAAAGGTGTCAAATTTGTGTTTGCATACTAAAGAACATTGTGCCTGGCCATAGTTTGTGGTTGATATGCGTCATGTCACTCTATTGAAGAAAATTGTTTTTGTTTTGTTTTGTTTTAACAGCAGCTGTCAATTTTGAATATAGATTCTTAGCTAAGGGTTGAGACTTTATAACTACTTCACCTCGTCCATGCTGGAATTTTGTCTTGTGTAGGTCCTATGCATTTTGTCATATTTTTGTGGTTTTGGAAATGCATCTTCTCTGTTGTTTCTTAAAAATACACTGTCATCAGATTGCTCTTCTATCTCTGGTTAGAATCTTTCTGTCTGCTTTTCCATATTGGGAACTGACACTCGATGGTAATACAGATATCTCCTTTAGGATTGAGCACTCCAAAATTTCTCACTCTCTGCAGGTGGTCAAGTTGTAGGTCTCTTCCCTAATTTCCAACCCCTCATGGCAGGAAGTTTATCATAAAAGGGTTGAGTGAATCACAATCAATGAGAATTGATCAATAATGTATGTCATTCATTAGCAGTCATTTTGTATATGTCCTTTTATCAGAATCATGGTAGTAGGATTGCCCATAGGACATTTGACCTATTATGTTACAGGTTCTTTGCTTCTTAACAGTATCAATTTTAGGTTCAATCTCATGGAGTGGGCCTTAATTCTAGTCAAAAGTGATTGGTTACTCCCTGCTTCTCCCCAAATTTAGGCTTCTTTTTTGCCTGTGGGTGTATCTTGTAGGCAAGTGATTTTTGTAGTTTGCTCAGCTTGTAGCTTGTGGAGATGATTACTTTTCTTCTTTGGTAGTGTGTATAGCATACTGTGAGCCATAGCCAGTAGAAATGAAGCTTCCATTTGTGTACCAACTCAATTTTTACATGTTTCTTGACATGGTATGTGGTATGTTCAGCAAATTAAAACTGCTTTAAGATTCTTGCCTCAAGTTGTAGAGGGCAAACGGTACATTGAAGTGCCCTTGTAGTATTAGACATGGGAGCTGTTGGAACCCTTTGACCAATACCTCAAAACGTGGTAGCCCGTTATTGGTAACTGTTTTGGTTTTTGATAGCTTGTACTGTCCAGCTGGTGTATTGTCCCACCATTATAAGGTCACGCCTCTTGAACTTTTAATATTATGTACATGTAATGTGGGGTAGTATACATATTATATATGTATATAATATTAAATACACATATACATGTATATAATATATAATTATATAATATGTATATTATGTATATGTATATTATATAATCATATATTATATATAATATTATATACATGTATATACACACAATATACACATATTAGATACATATATACATGTTCATAATGTATACATATATATGTATATAATATTATATACATATATATGTATATAATATTACATATACATATTTATATATTTAATTCAATATATACTTATATATTGAATTTAATATACTTAATTTAATATATACAGGTATATAATGTTATATATACATATAATATATACATATAATACACATAATATGTATATTATATATTATACACATGTAATATGTATATTATATACATATTATACACATATAATATACACATATAATATATAACATGTATATTATACACATAATATACACATATAACATGTATATTATATACATATAATAAATATGTTATATACATATATAATGAATGTATATCCCCAAACCAATATTTGTGTATGTGTGTGTGTGTGTGTGTGTGTGTGTGTGTGTATTTCAAGATAGGGTTTCTCTGTGTAGCCCTGGTTGTATTTGACACATTGTGTAGACCAGCCTGGCCTCTTACAGAAATTCATGTGTTTCTTCCTTTTGAGTGATGGGACTAAAGGCATGCATTGCCACTCCCCTCATATATTTCAGGAAGGTTTCCATTTGGCTTTTTCTCCCCATGTTCTTTCGTCTACATTTTTCCCCCTTAATTAACTTGTTCTAATTTCTCCTTTATGACACTATATTCTATTTCCCTTTCCTTGGAAGTTCCTACCTTCCCCGCTGGTCCCTCTCTAGTTACCTAACCTCTGTGGGTGTTCTAAAAGAAACACAGACTGAAAACAGAAAAACTGATATCTACATATAAGAGAAAAAATATAATGTATTTCATTCTGGGTCTTCATTACCTTCCTTTGGATGATTTTTTTTATTCTATTTTATTTATTTTTTAACTTTTATTAATTACACTTTATTCACTTTGTATCCCCCCATAAACCCCTCCCTCCTCCCCTCCTAATCCCACCCTCCCTCCCCCATCTCCACATATGCCCCTCCCCAAGTCCACTGATAGGGGTGGCCCTCCTCTCCTTCCTTCTGATCCTAGTCTATCAGATCACATCAGGAGTTTTTGTTTTTTTGTTTTTTGTTTTTTTTTTCAACTTGAACAGTATACCTCCAAATTTTATAATTCATTTTCGTTAGTGGTTGAATAATATTCCATTATGCAAATTTATCACATTTTCATTATCCATTCATCAGTTAGTTCATAAATATTAAATCTTTTTTGTATTTTTAATGATTATGGATAGAGCAGCAGTGAACATGGATTATAATATTTTAATGAGATTTTTATCAATATTTATAATGAATATTGGTCTATTGTTTTCTTTTTTGGGGGGGTCTTTGTATGTTTTTAGTATCAGAGTAATGATGAACTTGTAAGAAGGATGTAAACATTTCTCTTTTGTAGAATAAGGACTATTCTTTCAACATCTGGTAGAATTCTATGCTCAATCTATCTGTCTCTCGGGTGTTTTTAGTTGCTAGATTTTTAATTACTGCTTCTATCTCACTGCAGGTTATGAATCTATTTAAATTATATTTACTTTATCTTGATTTATCTTTGATAAATTGTGTATTTCAAGAAATGTATTGATTTCTCTTTAGACTTTTTATTTTAGTAGAAGACAGATTTTTAAAGCGTGCCTCTATGATTGTCCTTTACATCTCTAGTTTTGCTAATTTGGATTTTGTTTAAAATAATTTTCATGAAGCCAGACATTGGTGGTGCATACCTTTAATTCCCAGTATTGGGAGACAGAAGCCAGGTGGACTCTGAGTTCAAGGCTAGCCCAGTCAACAAAGTGAGTTCCAGTAGAGCCAGAGCTACACAGAGAAACCCTATCTCAAAAAAGTTAACATTTTTTATAAATAACCCTTGGGAAGTTTTAAAGATAATCTTAAAACTTTTTTAAGTCATAACGATCTTTTTTTTTTTTTCTCTTTTCTCAGCACTTTCATTGACAAATAACATGGGAGACACCCTCTTTTATCTCTGGAAAAACAAACTCTTTCACCTCTGCAAAAACAAAGTCTTCCACCTCCAAAGAGGCTAAATCTTCAAAGAAGTCTCCATGGAAAACAGCTATTCTACTACCAGTGCCACAGACCAGCAAGAAACCAGTACAACCCAAGCAATCTGGAGATACTTCAGTCACTAAGAAGGACATTACTATTAAAATTGTTCTACCAAAGAAAAAGAGGTAGAAAGTTGGGAAAAAGGGTTAGTCAGTATTATAAGTGTCTGTATTAGAATATTATTTTTTACATGTAGTTTAGCAGCATTAAATGTATAAGGCAATTTTTGTCTTAGTTAAATTTTCTATTGTGAGGAAACAATAGTAACTTGTGAGGAACTTATACTTCTGTATTACAGTTCATCATCAAAGGCAGTCAAGGCAGGAACTCAAACAGGGCAGAGACAGGGGTTGGAGTTGGGCATGGAGGAGGAGAAATATCTAAAGTAAAATATTGACTGGTGATGAAGGAACAATGAATAAATGAATAAAGCAAAAACTGTCTAATGTGAAAAACTGAGATAGAATTTAAAATATTGAGAAAGACAGTGAGTTGAGATTTTTCTTAAGATGTGCAATTAGTCAGGAAGAAGAGAGGAAGGGATAGATTGGGGCAGGAAAATACTGAAGAAATTATTTTTCTTGTAATCATTTCTAAGAGTATATCACAGATATAAATATATAAACTGTTTATATTATGAAAGCCTAAGTATTAAGGCTAAGGATCTATATAAGTTTTAATATTTTGTGTGAAGTGGTACAGTATGAATTTTTATGTGTGAACTAAACAAAGTTATGAATGAGCCTCTAGTCTAATGTAAAAAAATGGAAAGTAGGTGTACTAGAATTTTAATTATTCAAATAACTCCTCAAAAGATAAGCTAAGTGGAACAACAACAACAAAATAAAAGAAACAAACAGAAAGCACACAATAAAATGGTTTACTCAGACCCAAATATAATAATTACAGTAAAAACATTGATTAAATTTTTTTAAAAATTTTTTTTATATTAATCACAGGTTATTTACTTTGTATCCCAGCCATAGCCCCCTCCATCATTCCCTCCCAATTCCACCCTCCCTCCCTTTTCTCCTCCCTGCCCCTTTCCAAGTCCACGGCTAGGGGAGGTCTTCCTCCTCTTCCATCTGACCCTAGCTTGTCAGGTATCTTCAGGACTGGCTGCCATGTCCTCCTCTGTGGCCTAGTAAGGCTGCTCCTCCCTCGGGGTGGGGGCGTTAAAGGAGCCAGTCGTTGAGTTCGTGTCAGAAATAGTTCCTGTTCCCCGTACTAGGGAAACCCACTTGGTTACTGAGCTACCGTGGGCTACATCCGAGCAGGGGTTCTAGATTATATCCATACATGGCCGTTGGTTGGAGAAACAGTCTCATAGAGGGCCCCTGTGTCCTGGTATATTTTGTCCTTGTGGAGCTCCTGTCCTCTCTAGGTCATATTAACTCCCCCTTCTTTCATATGATTCCCTGTACTCTGCCTAAAGTTAGGCTATGAGTCTCAGCATCTGCTTTGATACACTTCTAGGTAGAGTCTTTCAGAGGCCCTCTGCGGTAGGCTCCTGTCCTGTTACTTGTTTTCTCCTACATCCAATGTCCATCCCATTTGTCTTTCTAAGTGAGGATTGATCATCTTACTCTGGGTCCTCTTTCTTGTTTATCTTCTTTAGGTGCACATATTTTAGTATGTTTATCCTATCTTATAGGCCTATATAAATGAGTATATACCATGTGTGTCTTTCTGCTCTTGAATTAAAATGCAGATATTTGAAAAATAGAATTTTAAAGAAGATTCAAATATATCATGTCTATAAAATATGCACTCTAAATATAAAGGTAAAAAATCTTAGCAATATTATCTTACACATCTAGTATTTCAATGTGATATCAGCATGTTTATTTCAGTGAATGCTTACCATGTGGAATGAAATGTCATCTTGTTTTTAAAATACTCTGTTATTTCTATTTAAAACATTTGTAATGTATAAATATCAGTATGAAATATTTATAAATATATTATGATATATTTAGGTTCTAAGGTAGTTAACATTTCTTTTTAATAGGAAATAAAATTAAGAAAGGTTGATCTTGAATTTAATGTGAAATACTTTCACGTTTTTTATTATTTTTTTAAGACAGGGTTTCTCTGTGTAGCCTTGGGTGTTATGGACTTCTTTGTAGACAAGGCTAGCCTTGAACTCACAGAGAAAAACTTGCCTCTGCCTCCCCAAGTACTGGGATTGCAGGCAAGCACCACTGTGCCTGGCGTGAAATACATTTTAATGCATTTGAAAATATTTCCATCTGCTTAAGAAGTTAGTATAATAACAGTGATATGAAATATCTTTAATATCTTTTGATTGCTATATTTTCTAGTACAAATGTTATTATAATTTTGGAAAGTTATTTTGGTAAACATTATTTAATGATAAAAGATAAAGGACAAGTACTATAATTTGTATATTTTTTCAAAAGGACCATTTCAGTTCATTATCATCTAACTTTATTATTTCATTAAAAGGAAAAGATGTTCAGAATTTGAATAACTGAGAACATTTTTACGGAATAGAAAATATTCTTAAAATAGATTTCTTTATGAACTGTCATTTTCTTCCTACATTTAAGAAGATTTGTGCACAGGGACTAGAGAGATTACTTAGTGGTTAATCACTGAGTGATCTTCCACAGGACCTGGGTTTTCTTCCCTCTACCCACAGGTCAGCTCACATCCATCTGTAGAACCAGTTCCAGGGATCCAGTGCACTTTTCTGTTTTCTGTGGATACCAGGCATGCATGTGGTCTACCCATATTACTTGCAGGCAGAAAAACCATACACTTAAAAGATCAAATATAACTTTAGAAACTTAGGAACAAATGTTAACACATTTTCTAAATAAATGTACATATTCAAGTATAGGTATTAAACATACTATCTTTGTATATATCTTCATAGGGTTCAGAATTAAAACACTGAGAAAAATGACATGTGTAATTCACACGTAATTCATGTGTAGTTCACATGATTTACTAGACCAATATGAATCTAGATGAGTCATTAATTTAAAGAAGTATATTGTTAGTAACCTTTAATGATACTCTCAGGTTTTACTCTTTTGTCCTTTTGTCATCTTTCCTTGGTGCAAGAGTTCTTTTTGTGATACTGGGAAGCAGTTTAAAAGTAGCTCCTAGAAAATCCTAAGATTTCACATAAACAGAATACTAGTAAAATTTAACTGTGTTCAAGAGACATTTAGTTCTTATGTGTAGCAAGCAGTCTTTACTAAACTATAATTTTATGAAAATTATTGATGTGTGCATACAGAGAAATGTAGACTAGACACAGTGGGAAAGAAGAGCTGCTTTCTAAAGTGCCTTGCTGATGATATTTTTGCTTATTTGAAAGAAATTTATAGAATTAACAGTGAGAAAAAAAGTCTTACAAGGAATCTCAAAGTATCAAGCAGGTTTTGCACAGTTAACTAATTTGACTAAGTTATCATCAGATAATAGGATAGGCAATCCTACCTAGCCTTTCAGTTTCTTTCTCTGATACCTGAACAGCTTGTAGGCCTAAGTTCAGTTTGCAAAGTACCAGTTCTTGGTACCCTGAAGGTTTTCACCCTTTTTTGGTAACTGATGATTTTGTGATACAATGATATCTACCTTTTTTTCTAGTCTAGAAACTTTTAAAAGAGAACATGTACCTGCATTCATCATACCTTTCTTTGTTTCAAACAGGAAAAATGTATTCTAGTAGTTTCTTCGACATCTAAAGCTTCTATAAGTTCACTGATAAGAAGGTGTTTATATAATAAATACTCTGTGGGACTATCTAAAATAGTGATGTCTACAGGTAAATTAGTATTTTCAAAAGAGTAATAAATATATATGTTTCATCCAACATTTATTTCAGTGTTGTTGAATTCCAGGAAATGCATAAAATATTAATGTATTTTGTTATGCTGATAGTTCAGTTTAATGTTAAGCAAAACCAGTCTATTTAAATGTCACCTGAAAAATCACTCTCCAATATTTTGAATTTGTGTCATTATCAAACCTTTTCAAAGTATTTTGTTATTTCATATTATGTTTCCAAGGTAAATCGTACATTTTTTTAAAAAAATAATTCTTTTGCCAGAAGACATAGTGACTTTAAAGTCTTCTCTGTTGGTTTGAAAGAGCACAGACCAAAAATCATCCTGTGTACATTTTCTTATTTTTTTTTCCTATTGTCATTCTCCTTTCATTTTTATTTTGTATGAGTGTTTGCCTTACACGTGTATCTGTGCATCTTGTGTGTGCCTGGTGCCCAGAAGAGGATCTCAGATCTCCTGGGACTAGAGATAACAAACAGTTGTGAGCTGCCATGGGGGTGCTTGGAAGCAAACCCAGGCCTATTGGAAACAGCAGTCAGTGCCCTTCACAGTTTGAGCCACCTCTCTAGTCCCCCTTTCCTATTAGTTTTTTATATCGTTAATTACCTCCTTCAAACTCTTGTATTTCTTTTTACTTATCAGTTTTCTTTCCCACTTAAAGGATATTATTTTTTTGAAATACCAATTGTTTTTGAGACTTATTTAGCACACCTTATTTTTATTATTTCTGATTTTCAATCCACTAGCTAAAGAAATGATCTTATCTACCCTGAGAATGTAAAGACTGAATCTTTTGAGTACTGACATGACACCCTAACTCAAAGACCCCTGACTTCATATGATGGGGTGCAATCAAAACACAAGTACACAAGTGCTCCCGAATTGTTGTTTCAAACTACCTGCAGGCTTTTGTATAAACTAACTATAAAGTAGCCATGACTTTAATGGCCCATCCCCAAGTTATCTCACTATGTTTGTACTGATGTTTGTGTCCCAATGATTTCATCTACGGGGTGCTCAACACGTGTAGTAGAAAGATGGTAAAATATTGAAATTCTTTTTCCTTTACTTCCTGAACGTATCTGTACCATGAGTACCTTGAGTTGAGGTTTTTGTTTATTTCGAGACGGAGTTTCTCTCTGTAACCTTAGCTGTCCTGGACTGGCTTTGTAGACCAGGCTGGCCTCGAAACTCACAGAGATCCTCCTGCCTCTGCCTCGCTGAGTGCTGGGATTACAGGTGTCTGCCACTGTGCCTGGCTTTGAGTTGAGTTTTTAATCATGGTTTTATTTTTGTGCCAGAGCCTGTCCTTCCTTAGGTCAAATTGTCATATATTTCAACACAGTGAATTTTTTTTTCAGTACGAATTAGTATGTTAAAATGTTCTTGATTTAAGAAAATAGTTTCAGTAATGATAAACCTGCAAATTTTAGTGTAGATTGATTTGCAGTTGTTGATTTTGGTGATGAAAGTTATCTGCACTTATCACCATGATAGTAAATGGAAAATTTTGTACTATGTGCTTTTATTGTACAAAGAAAAAGTTTAAAATTTCCTCAGTGAGCCTAGGCGTATAAGGAAGGAACATTTTTATTTTCATATTTAAAGTTTAAGGCATTAAAATTTACTATTACATATACCTTGAGTCATTTGATTACTGTAGAAAATGCAACTGAAATAGTACTGTAAATGAGTAAGGATGACAAGTTTTCAAAGCAAATTTAGATGCTATAATATACAGTGAAGTTCAGTGGGTAGAGCTCTAGGAGGAGTTGGGGAAATCCTCAAAATTTAAAGAACAAGAACACAGGAGATTAGTCTTTAATTTTTTGTATCATTAATACAATAATAAAATAAAATTTATTTTATGATGCCCTTAAGTCTTCTGAGTCATAAACTTTATATAATCACTTTGAATAAGATTCTAAAATATTGAATAAGCTTTTTTAAATATTTTCATGTTCAATATATTTACATAAATGTTACTATACCTACCTGCATGTTTTCAGTAGCAAAAATGATCACTAATATGAACTACCTTTAAGTTTTCCTTAAAAGAAGTCGCTAGTAGAATATGGCAATTATGTAATATTTTAACAAAATTTATTTGAATTCATCTCATTCATATACATTTTTTCTCAAGTCCATGTTTATATAAATAAAGATGGAATTTGTGGCCAATACCTGGATCCACACAGAGTTCAACAGCTACATGACCACTTTGGTCCACACACTGTAAACGTGATTCTCTGACCGACTGACTATTCAGGCCTGTGTGGATTATGCCATTGAGGCCAAGACTATATTTCTACTTCTTAAACCAGACAATCATGGAGGAGAAATGATAACTGGTATACTATTCTAATTATTCAACTTCTGTTCTAAATTTTGTTTGAATTCTCAAAGAAGACTATTGTAGCATAAAGATTATTTATAATATTTATATTATAAATAATATTAATAATAATTAATATAAATAATATTAATAATATTTATATTATTCTATAATATTTTACTATACTGATATAATAGAATAAGTATAGTGGTTACATGCTTACAAAATTTTAACTATTATTTGGAAAGTTTACTTTCATCAAAACAGACAGATGAAAGCCAGATATGGTGATATATACCTATTTTCCCTGTATTCAGGGGTGTGAACCAGGCCAAATTATGTGAATTCCAAGGTTCTCTGGGTTATACATAAGGTATTAGGTCACCAAAGGCTGACTAGTGAGACCCTGTGTCATACAAACAAACAAAAGCTGACAACTGATGTCAGTACAAACTATACATTTAAGTAAAAATTACAGTCTTTTTTTCTTATATATGCTTTGTTAAGCTAGTTATTTAGGCATCATACTGTGTATGAAACCTTAAAGAACAGAGAGAGGATAAGAGGGTGGAAAGGTGGAATTGGGAGAGAATGAGGGAGTGGGCAACAGCTGGGATACAAAGTGAATAAACTGTAATTAATATAAAAAATAAAAATTGAATTAAAAAAGAATAGTGTGAGAGAAAACCTTATGAAAATAAAATAAAAGGCTAAGGAGTGTAGCTCAGTGGTAGTGTGCTTGCCTTATATACACAAGGCCCTAAGTTTAGTCTCTAGCACCATAAAAAAAAATTTGAAAAATAGAGTAGGAGAGAAGAAAGTTATAGCCGGTGTCTGTCATAATTGCATGCCATAACTTTTATACTCATGTGATGTTTGGAGTAGAAGGGTTACTGTAACCAAACCCTTTCTGGTATCCTGTTTGTGAATATTTTAAATAGAAATTGCTATCAATTCCCCTTTTAAGTTTCAAAACCCATAAAATAAACTTAAAGCACATTTCCTGAATTGATTCTTCTGTTACTGTAGAACCCCTGCACAGATGTAGCTCATGGCCATTCAGTCTCCAAATGCACCCCCTAGTAAGGGGAACAGGGGCTGTCTCTGATGTGAACTCCGTGTCCTGCTCTTTGATCACCTCCCCCTGAGCTAGGAGTAGCCTTATCAGGCCACAGAGGAAGGCAATGCTGACAGTCCTGATGAGACCTGATAGGCTAGGGTCAGATGGAAGGGGAGGAGGATTTTCCCTATCAATGGAATGGGGCAAGGGCATGGGAGGAGAAGAGGGAAGGAGGGTGGAATTGAGAAGGAGATAAGGGAGGGAGCTATAGCTAGGATGCAAAGTGAATAAGCTGTAATTAATTTAAAAATAAAATTTAAAATAACCTTATGTGAGAATAATAAAACCTTAACTTGACTAGATTCAATAATCTAACTTTTGTCTTATTATTCCTATAAGATATCCCTGTATTCCCCTTTCTTTCTTTTCAGCCTCTTTTCTCCTTATCTAAGAAAGAAAAATAGAGAAAAGAAAAAGGAAAATAGAGAAATCCCTGAGTCTAACCTTGTTTTTTTTTCTCTGAATAAGACCATTAATAATTTATAACCATCTCCCAATGGAAATAAACATTCATAGCCACAGAAATCAACCCAAAACCTACCCAATCCCCTTAAAGGAAGTTGACATTATGCTCATGAATGTTTTGTAGCTGACTTTTTGGACACGCAGAATACCTATGGGGAGCCCAAAGGAAATTGGTAAAATGGTTAATTAAGCAAGCATTAACATTTATGGTCCAGTCTTTGAATGTTGAGAAATTTCAGGCTTAATAGAAGTCCTGTTTGGAACAGTCTAAAATGCTAGACCAATTGAGATTAGTAATTTTCTTCAAAGCTCTCTTGCTAGCAGGCTTTGATGAGAAACAGAAATTGAAGCAGTTGAGGCAGGAACAAGCAGAATGCTGGGACATGCAAGATGCTGGAACAGATGTGTCAATGTCTCAGCATGCTGAAGGGTGAATTCTGTCAGGTTTGATCCAGTGTCTCTAGTGTACAGTCTTTTTTTCTGCAAACATATAATTTCTCAGAAGCATTATACAGTATTAAAATTATAAATGTATGAGATGTGCAGGATGAAACCAAACTGTAAACCAATTTTATCTTTGCCAATTAAAAGAATGGCATAATAAATTTTGAGGATATTGTAGCCAAGGATTTATTGGCCATATATTGTTGAAGTTCTGGCTGGAGACATTTTTTATATCTCAGGCAGTTTCAGAGTTGTTCCCGTGTGAAGGGATCAGCAATTTATGTTACCTGTTTTGTTTAGTCTTCTTGATTTTTTTCTTCTTGTGTGTGGCCAAGATCTTCTGGTGGTCCTCTTTTGTCATTTCTGATTTTTATTACTTTTGATGGAACCCATAATTTCTTTTTTCCTATATGAAATAAGCAAAACCTTTTCCCCAGCATAACATATTCCCTGTTCTCCATTTTGAAATTAGGACCTTTACATGTATAAAGGTTTGCATTATACAACACATTTTTCAGTTCCTTTGTTAGATTTATTCCAAGATACTTTAATTTTTTTTTTGAGACATCTTATCGTGTAACTCTGACTGGCTTATAACTCACTATGTAGACCATTCTGGCCTCAGACTCATGAAGTTATTCCTGTGTCACTGCTAGGATAAAATAGGAAAAATTAGGTTTTTTTTTGTTTTGTTTTTTAACCTTTTTAGTGTTTTGATTGAGAAAGGACCCCACAGGCTCGTATATTTGAATGTTTGTTCCCGGTTGGTGGGAACTCTTTGGGGGGGAGGATTAGGAGTTGTGGCACTGCTAAAAGAGAAACATCACTGGGAATGGACTTATGTGGCTCTCTCTACCTTATGGTTATGTTTCAAGATGCATGTTCTCAACTACTGCTCAAATGCCACGCCTATTTGCCTTTTGCTGTGCTCCTCACTATAATGGTTATGAACTCGCTAACTCCCTATAACTGTGAGCCCCCAAAATAAATTTTCTCTTTTGTAAGTTGCCTTGGTCATGGTGTTTTGTCAGGGAAATAAAAAAAGTAACTAAGAGAGAAATTGGTACCAGGTAATAGGTTAATGCTATAATAGGCCTAACTATGTTGCTTTTTGGAGTGATGTGGAAGGTATTTGAACTTTGGATTAAGAACATGGTTGAATGCTATAAATGGAGCTTAATGGGCCATCTGTAGACCCACTCAAGATGTCTCAGAGAGGAACACTATTAGCAACTTGGTTAGAGGCTGTTCTGGTGATATTTTGGATAAACTAAGAGATTTCAGACAGAAGTAATATTAGCAGCTTGGCTAGAGGCTTTTCTGGTGATATGTTGGATAAGATTATGGATGCCTTTTGCCCTTGTCATAAGAATCTTAATGAGGTTAAAGTGACCAGTTTTAGATTAATTTCATTTACAGAGGAGATTTCAAGACCTTCAAATATTGACTCTGTTATGTGATTATTAATGATCACTTTTACACAGATTTACAATGAAAAAGAACAAGCAGGGCTAGAAGAAATACAAAAATACACATGTGGTTTGAAAAGAAAAAGACCACTGGGAAATTTTATGTTGGTTTGTGCTGAAAGAAATAAGGAGAAATGGAATACAGGGAATGGTGACCTCAGGGTAAGATCTTACCCAACTAATCCTGCAACTTGTGAAATGGCCTAAGGTAGTATCTGTTCCTAAAGAGCAACAACAAATCAGAGCTTGTATAAATTTAAGTCAAGGAGGGCTTTGGGTCCATCCCAAGCAGGCAGCAGAACTTGACAGCTTTGGCCACATGGTGTGGCTTTAGATTCAAGAATGATACAAGAGTAAAGGGGTTATGGAATATTCCTACACTATTACAAAAAGCTTCTGAGGCCAGGAGTGTGGCAGGGAAGTCTCTTCATGGAGGCCCAGAGAGGCCATTGCCTGAAACTGTGAAAGTGAAGCCTGGATTGTATTGGTGACTCCAGGATGTTGGAGATGACAGAGCTGTAGAATATCTACCAAGGAGAGCTGCACACGGGGAGTGGAACCAGTTCAAGAGAGAAATGTGTTGCAGTCAACAAAGCTGTATAGGCAGAGCTATCTAAGCCCCTGGACAATTACATAGAACTACAAGATTTGGAGTTTGCCCTGCTAGGCTTTCATATTTGGTCCAGTATTTCATCGCTATGCTCCTATTCCTCCCACTTGGAATGGTAATAGGTATTATGTGCCATTGCACGCTGGTTGTATGTAATGTCCTTTTGATTTTGCAGGGTCTTACAGTTAAGAAATCAACTCAAATATCTGAAGAGACTTTGGACTTTTATTGAAAGACTATGGGGAGTTTTGAAATTGAACTAAATACATTTTGCATTATGACATGGCTACAAGCCTATGTGCACCAAGTTGTGGAATGTGGTGGAAATTAGCATGCCACCCATAGGCTCATATGGTTGAATATTATTTTGTCCCCAGTTGCTGGAACAGTTTGAGAAGGATTTGGAGGTGTGGCCTATTAGAGAAGATGTGTCATTGAGGGTGGGAGTTAAGGTTTTAAAAGACCATGTAATGACAAACACAAGAATCCTCCATGGACCTGTTCTACTCTAGAACCATGAATAGGAGGAATATGCTGTTGGTCAACAGCATACACCAGTATGGCCTTCTCGTGATACCCAGGGAAAACAACAACACCATTATGATTTGAATACCAAATAATAGGCTTTAATAACATAAATTGTATAATTACAATAATAAAGAATTTCAAAAGGATTCCTTGTGACTTGTTAAGTAATGTATTCACAGTAGTTTCTAACAAAGTTACTGATTTAATGTCTCACGTACACTATTTTATGCGTGTGTGTGTGTGTGTGTGTGTGTGTGTGTGTGTACATGTGTGTGCAGGTGCAGAAACACATGTGTATGTGTCTGTGAGGACCACAGGAGAAAATTCTCTAGTGTCATCTTCAGGAAGGCTATTCAGCCTCCTTTGAGATAGGGTCTTCACTGCCATCTGGGGGCTCATCAGTTAGGTTACACTGACTGGCCAGAGTACCCCAGGAATTTTCACCTGTCCAGTGTTGGGATTAAAGTAGTTGCCGCCATGTCTGGCATCTTTAATGGATTCCGGAGAGCCAACTCCACTCTAAATGTTTTCAAGGCAAGCGCTTTACTAACTGAGCAAATCCTTCCTAGCCTCGAAATACTGATTCTGAGTGAATCAGTATTTATTGTAGCACTTAAAGTAGCTTCAGACAGCTGATTAGCTTTCAACATGAAGATGAAACTGTACAGCACATTTATAGTTTGCATGGATACTGACATACTACTTTCCCTTCTCAGAAAGTTAATAACATGAAATTTCTACTATTCACAGTCTTTAGCCAGTTGTCATAGATATGTAGTATTTTGTTCAATACACAGTAAAGTCATAATTTGATACTTAGCACATTTATTAAAAATACTGGGTTAGCTTCCTTAGGTGTACAGATTTTGGTATGTTTATCCTATATTATAGGTCTAACATCTACCTAGGAGTATGTATATTCCCTGTGTGTCTTTCTGCTTCTGGGACAGCTCACTCAGGATCATCTTTTCCAGTTCCTACCATTTACCTGCAAATTTCATGATTTCCTTGTTTTTCATTGCTGAGTAATATTCCGTTGTGTAGATGTACCACAATTTCTGTATCCATTCCTCCATAGAGGGGCATCTGGGCTGTTTCCAGATTCTGGCTATTATAAATAAAGCTGCTACAAACATGGTTGAGCAATTGTCCTTTTTGTGTACTTTAGCATCTTTTGGATATATGCCTAAGAGTTGTATAGCTGGATCTTGAGGAAGCGCTATTCCTAATTGTTTGAGAAAGTGCCAGACTGATTTTCAAAGTGGTTGTATAAGTTTACATTCCCACAAGCAGTGGAAGAGGGTTTCCTTTTCTCTACATACTCTCCAGCATGTGTTCTCACTTGAGTTTTTCATCTTGGCCATTCTGATAGATGTAAAGTGAAATCTCAGGGGCGTTTGATTTGCATTTCCCTGATATCTAAGGATGTTGAACATTTCTTTAAGTATTTCTCTGCCATTCTATATTCCTCTATTGAGACTTCTCTGTTTAGCTCTGTATCCCATTTTTTAATTGTATTACTTGATTTGTTGCTGTTTAACTTCTTTAGTTCTTTATATATACTGGATATTAGCCCTTTGTCAGATAAAGGGTTGGTGAAGATCCTTTCCTAATCTGTAGGCAGTCGTTTTGTTTTGACGACAGTGTCCTTTGCTTACAGAAGCTTTTCAGTTTCATGAGTCCCATTTGTTGATCATTGCTCTTAGAGCCTGTGCTGTTGGTGTTCGGTTCAGGAAGTTGTTTCCTGTGCCAATGAGTTCAACGCTCTTCCTCATTTTTCTTCTAACATGTTTAGTGTGTCTGGTTTTATATTGAGGTCTTTGACACCTAAGGAAGCTAATCATGAAGGAGGACACCAGCTAAGAAGCTAAATCTCTACTCAGAAAGGCAAAGAGGCTGGACATCAGAGGAGGGAGAAAATACGGGAACAGGACAGGAGCCTACCACAGAGGGCCTCTAAAAGGCTCTACACTGCAGGGTATTGAGGCAGATGCTGAGACTCATAGCCAAACTTTGGGCAGAGTGCAGGGAATCTTATGAAAGAAGTAGGAGACAGTAAGACCTGGAGAGGACAGGAGCTCCACAAGGATAGCAACAGATCCAAAACATCTGGACACAGGGG